CAACATACCATTCACCCATGAACGCGTGACAAACATTCAAGGGCGCGAAACTCGCGCGATTCCACCTGAGAGAAGTTCACACACTCCTGGAGAAGCTTCCATCAAAGCCCCATGGAAACAACGTGAAGAACGGGTTCGCGATGTGCATTACTCCACCGAAGCATGGAACGACAAGTGGCAACGCACCAACTGGACTGCCCACGGCCGGGCATTCAGAAGCAGCCCCCTTGGCACACAACGTTGGGTAACCAAACACGCCTCAGGACACTGCGGGGTCGGATGGATGCAACTTCGAAGAAAGCGGCAAGACCACAGCAACTGTCCGCGATGCGGACTCGAAGATGAAGACACCCTCCACGTGCTACTCTGTGACTCCACCACTGCCACAGCGGAATGGAAGAAACAATTGACGGAGCTGAAACAAGTGGATGAAGAAGAGGCACACCCACCCCAGACTCCGAACACAGATTCTCCTCCACCTCAACCGGTGCACCAAGGCGACACCACTCCACCCAACACCGCCAGATTACCAACCTCCATCCGCCAAGCCATCGCCGACCAAACCAACCTTGGCTGGTGGAACTTGTTACTTGGCAGGGTCTCCCAATCCTTCCAACACATCCAAACACACACCTGCAACGACTCAAGAAGAACGGAGATGGCCTGGCCTGGACCAGCGCCTTCATCAAACAGATCTGGAGCCTACACTTCAACCTTTGGACCAACCGAAATGAATCCGTCCATGGCACTACCCTCACTCCCACCCAACTATCCAAACTGGACACTCTACGCGAACGGTTCGACAACAGTACACCCAAGGCACCATAGGCCTACTCCCCGTCGACCACTGGAGAGTCCACCCGGACACCAAAACCCACACCCTTACATTCACCATCGACAAGACAAAACGATGGCTTGAATCTACCACCCTGGCCCCGAACAGAGTTCCAGAAGCAACTTGCCCAGCGAATCGACAGCTCCAACGGCAACAGCAACTGATGACCACACATTTTAGTCTTAATCCGGATTAGGCCACTGCGCCCCGGTCACTCCACGAGGAGGCATTCACTGTGGTAGCGGAGAAACAAGGACCTGTCCCTCTCGTTGGGGACGGAGGTGAAAGACGACGTAGACTAGTTAGCTAGTTACATCGTGCTTATATGAGTACATCCTCTTGTTTCAATGAAACTGAATGCTATTCCCCTCATGTCGTGCGACCACCCACATAAACGACTCAGTTGCTTGGGCCCTCGGGCTCGATTCGTACCAGCGTTGACAAAGGTCCTCCGGACCAGATAGGTAGTCTGCCTAAAACTAGTACTTTTTTATATATATGGAAGATTCAGAGCTAGATTGGTGGCCTGCGGCTACAGTCAGGTACCCGGAATTGATTTTGACAACATCTACAGTCCGGTGGCTAACGACATCACCTTCCGCATCATCTTGATTCTACTACTAAAGAAGATGGGAAGAGCGAAGGCAATTATCTTCGATATTGAGACAGCATTCCTACATGGAGACATGGACGTAGTCATCTACATGGACTGCCCAAAAGGACTAGAACACCAAGACGACGAATGTGTCATACTGGACAAGACCATCTATGGTGCTTGCCAGAGCGCACGACAGTACTACTTGAAGTTTGCGAGTGTCCTGGAAGACTTAGGATTCGTTACGTGTCCTAGTGATCCATGCCTCTTCATGCGGAACAAGAATGGGAAGATATGCGTGATTCTATGTTACGTGGATGACAATCTCACCATTGGAGAAGAAGACGATATCAAGGAAGTGCTTCAAGGGATTAAAGATCGAGGCTTGAACATGACCATAGAGTACGAACTCACGGACTACCTGAGCTGTGAGATTCGGATGAATCCCCGAAAGGATGCTGCATGGGTGGGACAACCCCACATGATCAAGAAGATTCAAACCACATTCGGAGAGGAGGTACAGAAGCTACCCAAGTACAAGACTGCGGGAACACCTGGACTCGGAATAGTGAAGACAGACGAACAGAGCGAATGGATCGCTGAAGAACAACAGAGCAGATATCGAACAGGAGTAGGTATGCTCATGTACCTTATCAAGCATTCAAGGCCAGAAATCTCGAACGCGGTACGAGAGCTAGCTAAGGTCTTGGGATGCGCAACGCCAGCAGCGTACAAGGAAATGCTACGTTGTGTAAAGTTCGTGTTGGACTCAAGGAACCGTGGACTTTTGATGAGACCAGAGAAGAACGAAGGACCGTGGAAGTTGGAAGTATTCTCGGATTCGGATTGGGCCGGAGACAAGAACAATAGAAGATCAGTCACGTCCATGATGATCTTTCTCGAAGGTGTACTCATTCACTGGAGGTCCAAGCTACAGAAGGTTGTAGCATTGTCGAGTTCCGAAGCTGAGTTCTACGCGTGTGGCGAAGCAGTGCGAGAAGTCCCGTTCATCGCGCAGATTCTGAAGTTCCTACAGATCAACGTGGAACTACCTGTGCAAGTGAAGATCGATAACGTGGGTGCTATCTTTATGTCAGAGAACAAGACAAGTGCAAGTCGAACAAGGCACATGGATACGAGGTGGCACTACGTGAACCAAATGCAGCAGGACGGCCTAGTGAAGATTGATTTTGTTCGCTCGGAAGACAACGTGAGCGACATTGGGACCAAGAATGTCAACGTTGAGACCCTCGACAGACGTGCACCAAAACTGACAGGAGACAAGGAGCAATTGGTTTGAGTTGGTGAGAAGGTCGCTGCCATCATCGCGAAAACAGGAAGGGTGTTAGAAAGGTATTTTCGTATGACGGACAGACGACTCGGGATCCGCAGTCACGGTTCGTGATTGGGGATGTGTGACTCAAATCAGATGGTTATCCGATCATCATCAGATGGCCAGGTGTACGAGGAACGAGGACAATGGTCGTCTAGATGATGCAACTACAAATGTTAGGAAGTTAGGTCGAAGAGACGAATGCAAGGAGCGATGGGTTGGAGCAAATGAATGGACGGATGAAGGTCCATAGGTTTAGTAAAGTGGGAAAGCCCTCCAGGGCCAACCATGCACTTCAGGAAGATAGATCGACGAGATCTATCTGCAAATGAAACTGCGAGAAACAGAGGATCGAAAGATCCTGGTATATGTATGCATATCGCTCAGTTGTAGAGCTCACAATCTGAACGAGAGAGAAAGAGAAAACGAAACGAATAGCCAGTCTACTAGACAGTAGAGCTGGAAGGATATTGATTAAATTAGAGAAATTGTGCGTTCAAGTTCACACCTTTTCAACATAGGACGGGCTCTGTTCGTTGGATCATTAGCATTCGGAATAGATCCATAGATCCTTCCATTGTACTGTATGGCATACCGGTGCAGCCGTACTAGTACAGCCCACAGCCCACTGCTGCAACGACCTTTCTTCGTTCCAAATCTGGGAAGCTGGAGCCTGACGTGGTTAATTTTGTGCTCTGTGTAGCTCGTGCAGTCGTACAGTGATGTGATTGGGAGATGAAGGGATCTTCGAACTCTCCAAACTGGAAACACTGCCGATTGACTGTCGTCATCAGGAAAAGCTGCGACGAACCAGATCTGTGTCTGTGGAATGATATCATCGTGATGTGTTGGCTTTGCTAACAAGCAATCCAGAAAGCATAGAAGACAGCATTGTGTCAACCATATTTCCCCCAAGATTTTAAAGAACAGATTAATATTGGATCCCACAAAGATGTTCCGTCCGGCTACCAAGACCATCCTACGAAGAGCGCCGACGGCCCGGGCAACGGCTGCTTCATCAGCAGCACGGGCCATGTCTTCTTCGTCGAGTGATAAGCTTTCCTACGGAGTTGTACCCAAGGAGTACTTTGGAGAATACAAGGAGTATTCCGTGATCCACACCAATCGATCTTTGAACTTAATGTCAGAACCCTTCCAACAAGTGATGCGCAACTTGAACGATCTCTTGAAGGAAACTTACAAGGCCGACAAAGTTGCGATTATTCCGGGGTACGTTTATTTATTTTTGATGGGATGAGTGGCAATGGGCCAAGGAAAATGCAAAGACTAACTATTTTCCTGTTTGTGTTTTACTGCGGGTTTCCAATTTCCTGCTTGATGAAATTACTTTTTGTTTTTCTTTTTTGTTACGGTAGCTCTGGAACATTTGGAATGGAAGCCGTGGCTCGTCAATTTGCTACCAATAAACATGTCATGGTGATCCGCAATGGCTGGTTCTCTTTTCGTTGGACCGAAATCTTTGACATGGGCGGTGAAAATACCATTCCAGAGTCACACACGGTTCTGAAAGCAGTTCCTGTAGACACAACATCTGCGAGTACTAATCCACAAACAACCCAGTATCAACCCCACCCAATTGCAGAAGTCGTCAAGAAAATTAAGGAGGAACGCCCAGCAGTGTTGTTTGCTCCCCACGTGGAAACCAGTACTGGAATGTTCCTACCTGACAGTTACATCAAAGAAGCAGCAGCAGCCATGCATGAAGTTGGAGGGATGTTTGTATTGGATTGCATAGCATCCGGAACCGTATGGGCCGACATGAAAGATTTGGGTGTGGATGTTGTTATTAGTGCGCCACAAAAGGGGTGGACTGGCCCAGCCTGCGCCGCTCTGGTGCCAATGTCGGACTTGGCCGTGTCCAAGATGCAAGAAACCAACGAAACATCCTTTTCCATGAGTTTGAAACGATGGACTGCCATCATGGACACTTACGCGAATGGCGGATTCGGATACCATACAACCATGCCCACAGACGCACTTCGAGATTTTCACGAAATCAGTGTGGAGACATTGAAGTTTGGTCTTCCGGAGCTCAAGGAAGCGCAACTGGAACTGGGAAAGCAAGCACACGCAGCCTATGGAGCTCGTGGGCTAACCAGTGTTGCAGCACCCGGCTTTCAAGCTCCTGGGGTGCTTGTGTACTACTCTCCCATGGGCACTGACAATCCGGTCATGATGAACAAATTCAAGGGATACGGACTGCAAATCGCTATGGGTGTGCCGTGGAGAATTGATGAACCAGATGGTTTGAAAACATTCCGCATGGGTCTGTTTGGATTGGACAAGCTGGGCGATATTGAAGGCACTGTCCAGGTCATGGCAGAAGGTCTCGATAAGGTGTTGACGGAGTGTGGCTATGCGTTTCCAGAAACATCCAAGAAGGCTGCCTAGCTTTTTCTTTTAGCAGTTGGGTTGCCTGGTCTCCTCCAGTTCCATGCACCTGATAAGCTTACTTATCAATACACTACATTTTCGATAGACTTGTGCCTGTTCCGAACAGCGTTGAGAAGCAACCATGGGGGGGGATAAAGAGGTGTCATAGAAAAAATGTTCCCTGCCAATACTTACGTTGAACGGTGCCTGGTACCTGGTACACTCATTTGATGTTGGTTTGCCTGCCGCTTTCCCCCTGGGCATCATTTTCTGCCGTGCACTCGGCCTTCAGAACGTTCTTGCTAGCTGGCTTGTAGACAAGTATTCTGTTGATCATGGTCGCTCTACATGTAGCAACGACCACTACAACCGTATCGTTACCAGCTGGCTAAGCTACCGGTACCGTGTACCAGGTAGCTGCTCCAATGCTCCAGTGTCGTTAAAGCGACACACGGGACTGAATCTATTTTTCAATGCATTCATTTGATCCGAAAGACGATGACAGTTCCGGTCGGTCTCCTTCGCCTGGCTCCCCTACCGCACGGTGCGGCACACTTTTCATCCCCAGTGAGGAGCAACATCTACCGTATCAGCAATCCCAGTGAAGCCAGAGCCGGAGTACATTCATAGTCGTTGTAGAAACCCCGACAATGGAAAGGAAGGTGATAGAGAGAAACCGTGATCCCATGGGATTCGTTCTCACTTCGTGGAAATTATTGCAGCAACACGGCAATAACCATGGCCATCAGTACGCAACAGGAAGAAGGGATTCGACGGAGAACGTTTCGGTGGGCTACAGCCGCAGTGTTTTCGGCGGCTTCGATTGGCCTATGCTTTGCGTGTCATGCCAAAACCAGGATGTTAGAACACAACGGCGAGCTCGAAACCCGCCGTGCAGCACTGCACAGTGGCCTGGATGACGACACAACAGATATGATGTTGTTCTCTCGGAGACTCGATCTTGAGGCTGACGAGACCAATGTCCTAGAGTTTGCAAGTAAAAGCCAAGACAACGCCACACTTGGATCCACTACTAGTAGTGGTACGGTCAGCAATGAAACACAAACCTCTGCTCCCATCATTGCTGGACTCTCCGCTGCCACGATTGCCGATATCCAAGAAGAAGGTTCAGCACAGTACATAGCGTATCAGTGGCTGCTTGCGGATCCAAATCTGAATACCTTTGATCAAAGAGCTTTGCGATCGCGCTTTGCCATGGCGACACTTTATCATGCAACGAGAGGGGACACCTGGACCCTGAACAACAACTGGCTGTCTTACAACCATTCAGTTTGCCAGTGGTATTCATCACTAGATGACGAAAGGATTCCATTCATTTTCCCTGGCTTTGAAAGCCCATGTTACGACAGGGATTCGGATTACCTACAGAACCTTGTGTTGGCGGATCAAAACATGAAAGGAACTCTTCCCGAGGAAATCAGTTTGATGACTGGTCTCAGCAGTATCTTTCTCAACAACAACAGCCTGGCTGGATCTGTGCCATTTTCATGGGTGAACCTTTCAAGTCTTATTCACCTATCACTCAACAACAACCACTTGCAGGGCACCATCCATTCGGATCTCTTCTCATTGACGAACCTACAGCGCTTGGATCTTTCATTCAATGCTATCCAAGGGACTCTGCCTACTGAGATTGGCCGTGCCGAGAAATTAGTGGCCTTGGTTTTGGAAGCGCATCAACTTGTGAGCCCTCTTCCGTCTGAACTGGGATCAGCTACAAACCTACAATACCTGAATATGGGTAATGGCCATCGGATAGAATTCAGGAAAGCTACATCAAAGACCCCACAGAGACTCTTCACAGAGATTGGGCGGTTGACCAAACTTCGAACATTCTTGGTTCCCTACACGTACATGTTCGAACGGGGTCTCCCAGAGGAGTTGTTTGATCTCACGAGCTTGAATTGGTTGGATTTGAAAGGAGCTGGGGCACTCAACTCTGAACTGCCAACATCCATTGGGAGGCTCACCAACCTGGTCTCGCTCGAGCTCACCCATAACAGCTTTATTGGAAACATACCCAGTGAGCTCGCCTTATTGACCAATCTTGCTGATTTCAATGCTGAGTTTTGTGACTTCACTGGCAAGATTCCAAGTGAAGTGGCGACAATGACAAACCTCAGAAAGTTCCTATTATGCTACAATCTACTTTCAGGTAGCATTCCAGAACAACTTGGTTCCCTGACTGCACTTGATGATCTTCACCTATGTAGAAATGACTTCACGGGGCACATTGCAACCACACTAGGGCTCCTGACTGAACTAACCCATCTGGATCTGAAAGGGAACTTTCTGAGTGGCCAAGTTCCTCCAGCGTTGGGACAGCTCAACACCTCTGAAGCAGTATTGGAGATCCAAGGAAACGAATTGACTGGAGTGGTACCTCCCGGGGTTTGTGATACTTTCTCTAGAATCTTTGCAGATTGTGTTTCAGAGGTTGAATGTGGCTGCTGCACAAGCTTTGAAATGCTTCCAATGATTGTTGCTTGTGGGGGACAATAGACTACTAGTAGTAGACAACAGACGCAACAGTGCAGAGAAACCCGTTGGTGAATCGAATTATTCGATTTGATTTTTAATCGGAGCTCGGTTGAAGTTCCTCTGTGTTCCTGCTCTCCCTTTGGCCAGTAAGACCCCAGTAACCACCAGGAAAACCACTGGCACATGAGGGGGCCAACGTCCTAATAATGATTGTTTCATTCTAGCCGTCGGGAATTTACAGTATACAGTACAGTACCGTTACCCAACAGTAAGAGCTGAGCTGTTTAAGTACAAGAATGACTTCTTGGAGTTGATCATTCTCTGCTAGTCAATTTATTTATCTGAAGTAGTTTACTTGATGAACTGTCTTGAAACAGAAAGACAATAAAGACAGGCTTGCTTTCTGGCCTGCTGGAACCTGCAGTACTGGAGGTATCTTAACCGATTCAGCTACAGCAACACTGAGTTATTATCTTACAAGCAGCCCAATCTCAGTATCTTTCATATCTTATAGCCACTACCTGGCTGGTAGAAGCTTTTATTACATACCCTACTACTAACCATGCCCTGAGACAGTGAGGAGCCACCACCAAAGCTCAAGAAGGCAAAGGTGCAAAGCTTAAATTGATGAAACCAAAGATTCCGTGGTCGGGAGGCACCCTAAGATGCGGATATGGAGTACTTGGATGTAGATGGTGATGTGGTAGATAGTGGGTACTAGCTGCATTCAATCCCCGCATAGTCTTAGTATTAGCTTAGGATTTGAGACCTCAGTACTCGTAGCTTATTTTACTGGTTTGGGAAATCTGAGTGTCCGGGTTATCTAAACATTTCCAAAAAGTTGAGTACTCGGTATCTTAAACCCACTTATCTTAAGTGTGAGTGAGGAGTGTAAGTTCTCAGCTGCCAGATTTAAGGATCAGTATCAGCAAAATAAATTGCTCCTTTGGGGGTACCAGGTACAAGGGCATAAGTACTCGTAGCTGCGAACTACTGGGATCCGGTAGTATCCATCGTGCAGTACAACTGTTCCAGTACCGTACCTACTAAGTACCGTACAGACCAATACCGTAGAATGGCTCACTGGAAAAAGCTGAGCTGTCCGGAAAAGAACACATACATGCATCATGCATGAAGGCAAACACCAAGACACGCTGTCATCTCTGGTCTGTGGTGCACGCAAGTTTGACCACTCACAGCACCGAGCACTGAGTAGCTGAGCTCTAGCTGGCAGAATTTTCACCACTATCGCTGCTGAATGTCGCTCCAATAGATCTGAAAACTGAAAACTCTCTCTTTCCGTCTTTTAAAAACATCGCAGCCCATTATCGCATTCATCAACTACTGGACTAACTGAAGTGTGCAACATGGGAGCATCCAACTCCAAACTAGAGGATCTGTCGGTGGAAGATATCTGCGAGTATGTTACCCAGCTCGGTAGCAAGTACAAGAGCTATGGAGAAGCCATCAATTCGAATGCTCTCGATGGAGAGATCTTGGCTTCCATGGAGCTGGACGAGGAAATGAAAGAGACGATGGAGTGCCTAGAAATTACCAACTTTTTGCATCAACGCGTGCTATTGAAAAAGTGGCGCAAGGCCAAAGAGGTAACGGGAGAGAACGCCCCGGAAGGAAAGTCTCTTCCATCAGCCGCCGGCGTCAAACCAGAGCTCGCGAGAAGCTCTACGACCTTTTCCGCACAAACAGACGCGTCAGAAATCACTTTGGACACGGCCATGTCAACGGCAGTTTCCTCCTCCAACTATACCAGACGCATGGAAGATCAGCAAGATGAGGATGAGCGTTACTGGGGCCCGCCATGTCCGCCCGCTCCTGTACCCGTCGGTCTCGTTGTCAGTGTGGAGCAGCAGCAGCTTGTGGATACTTTTAGCCTGCCGAAATCGGAGGACCTCCTACCGGCTGATTCTCAAGACCTGCACCCCTTTCGGAGGATTGCTGAGCAATGCCTTGGGGATATGAGATCCAGTGTAGCAGAGGTCAACCTCCTGGATACCACCCATTTTGAGGACAAGAGCGGCATGAATGTACGTTGGTGATGGACACGGCAGTTTCGGGCGTGTTTCTTCCTTCTTGTATGCTAACTCCTATTTTTGATGCTACCGTATGGTTTGTCCACGCAGAATCTTGCAGTTGTGTGGCCAGGTCAAGAGACACCAGTCAGAATGCATTTTGATAAACCCGGAGATTGGGACGCCTGTAGGCGATTCATCTTGGGGTCTGATGAGGACTTTTACATGGAGGATTGCGCCAAGGAAATTGCACAAGAACTTGGCTTCAAAGAACCTGCGCGGTACTATGGATATGTCGTAAGACAAAATGGTGTACGAGTCGGAACTGTGTGCACTGTCGTAGAGCTCACTAAGAGCGAAGAAACGTCTCATCAAGAAAAGGTGGACATTTTGAAGTTCTGCGCCACAGCCGCAGAACGACAGATCGAAAGACGTCGCGTCTTGTTGGAGCGGACGCAGCATTTGGCACAAGGCATCGATCAACTGAAGAAGTCGGGTGTGGATCAAGTTGTCGAACCTCCTTTTGGACCTGTTAAAGCTGTCATGGCTTCTCATCTGGCAGACCGAGACACCCTGTTTCCTTATCCAACAGAACCAGAGACACATCAGCCCTACAATGGGAGCCCGACCTTGCCTCATTTCTCAAGGAGAAGCGCCCACATGCCCTCGTATTCGAATGCGCTGCAGGCCGACGCAGCGCAGCGAATGCACCTCTCCTACTCGACGTCCCAGGTTGATCCAATCGCGAAAAATGACATGCAACGAACGGCCCAGATGAATTCTATGAAGCTGATGCAAATGGATCCTCTGTCCGAAGAAGCCAAGGTCATCCAGAAGCTGGTAGACATGACAGGAGCTCTTTTTGGAGCAGAGTACGCTTTCGTGTCTTTCCTCGACCACCAACACTTCTACGAACTGTTTCCTACTTTTCCTCAGGGAGAAAAGGCTGTATCTGCCAAGTTTCGTTCCTTTTTGAACGATACTTGTGAGCCTTTGCGACGACACCCAATGACCGGGGAAACTTTTGTTTATCGAGCGAGTCGGTCAGGTGCACTGTGTAACTACACCGTGATGGATCCAAGTCCACAGCATCAATGTTTTGTCGTTCACGATGTCGCTCGAGACGAATCGTTGGTGTATCAAAAGGAGCAATATGATATTGGGTTTTACAGTGGTGCCCCCATCATTGTGAGAGGACATGCCGTGGCCGGTCTTTGCATGGTTGCCATGCAAGCAAAGAGGAACTTCAGTCGGTCCCAAGAAGCCCAACAAGAACACCTAGCCCGGTTGATCGGACAGCAGCTAGAGACATGGGCACTTGGACAAGAGGTCAGAAAGCTTGAAAATCATCGGTCGCTGTTGCTGACCGACAACACCCAAAGCCAGGCGCTGTCACGAATGCCGTCCAACCGACCGGAAGGGCACGCGGCTCTGGTTTTCACAAGTGTCGAGGGCGTCGATGCGTTGCGAATATGCAATGGTCTCGAGAGGGCTCTTCTCCTTCACGATCATGTAGTGCGGAGCAAGCTGGTCGAAAACGGTGGATACGAGGTTATGAGGGAAGCGGACGGTTCGTTCCAACTGGCTTTCATGGACGTTGTGGACGCCGTGAACTTCGCCCTGCAAACCCAAGAGGCACTATTCCAGGCGCCGTGGGATGAGGACATCCTCGCTCAGCCGGAGGCAAGGGCGGATTGCTCCAAGTCCTTTCGTGGCCTGCGCGTGAAGATGGCTGTTCATAGTGGCGATGTGGAACTAGCATGTGAGGCACTATCTGGCAGGGTCTCTTATACCGGCGAGACATTCCACATTGGCAAGTGCTTGGGAAGCATGGGCCACGGCGGGCAGATCCTTGTGACGTCGGATGTTTGGGATATTGCTTCCCATTTAGTCTCAAGTACTCTGGGCTCGCCTCAAGTTCTTGACCTGGGTTGCCATGTGATGGCTTCAGGAAGCAGCGACATACATGACGGTGTCACTATTCAGAATATTATCCAATTGGTACCGAGCTCTCTGGCGCATGATTACGTTGAAAACCGGCGACTGCTGACCGGAGAACGGTGCGCTGCGGCAACAGTTGGGCGTGTATTCCCAGCTATCAAGACGACGAAAGCGGTCAGTGCTTCCTTTCATGATGCGCCGTGTTCCAGTAACAATATTTCGATCGTGTCGGTGAATACTAGCGAGGTACAAGCAATTGCAGACGATTCAAGCCTTGTGCTTGCAGCCCTTTCGAAGACCATTGATACCGTCCTGAAAGAGAACTTCGAAGGAGGATATCAATGCAAGGACTTCCTGGTAGCGTTTCACGCAGTTTCTGATGCAGTACGCTTCGCGTTGAAGATTCAGGATAAGCTTGAGAAGGAAAATGTTCTCGATGTTTGCTTGAAGAACAAGGTCAGGATTGGAATCCAGGAGGGAGTCTTCGAAAGCATGGGACCTAATCCCGTGACTGGGAGGGCTGAATACTTCGGAGCTGTTTCTCAGTATGCTTCGCTTGTTGCCGAAGCCGCATCCCCGGGGTGTGTTTATTTGGGCAAGGCAGGTTCAGACCTTGACGCCTTCCTTCAACCTGTCACCAGTGGTTTCATGCTGGACTTCACTGGTCGGAGGTCCTTCCAAGGGGTAGACGAGGAGTTCATTCTGTACAAGTGCCAACCATGCAGGTCCTGGTATGATTCAATGATGGACAAACGGGCAGGACGCAGGTCCCTCCAGGCGCCTTGGCGAGATTATTACTAGCGAGAGGACTTGGCTTGACCTGCGTCCTTCTTGGATGCGCCCCCCTTGCGTTGGCGGCTATGACTTTCATCTTGTTTTTCGGCTAGATTTGAATGCAGTACATGTAAATATGCTACATTAGACTACATTATTAGCTATGTAACGTCAAATCACTTAGAAAGCTCAGTTGTGATTGGCTGGGTGACAATCACTCTCAGGAAGGGATTGTTGATGATGGCGGAAATTGGAAAGATGGGACATTTGCTACTGGTAGGAGCGAGCGACAAACCCAGAACGTTTGATGGATCCTAGCACAGCCAAGCTGCTGGCGTGATACTATAGAAACTCTCTACCATACTGTATGGATGAGCTATGGATGTACTAGTAGAGAGTATTATGCTTGAAGTATCCGACACTCAAGTTGCCTCCTTTCTCCCCCATTGTGCAGTATTTACAATGCAAGACGAAGTTCCATTCAATAGTTCATGTGCTTGCTTGTCTGGGGCGGTGCTAGAAACTGGATCCGCGTGTATCACGTACAGCCGTACACATGCAGAGTATTTACATCAAGTTGTTTCTTCTCTGGATGTGCACAGCAATCGCCGGGCATGTGGCTTTAGCTGATCATTCAGAATGGGACATGTCGTCGATGATCGAGTCATCCATAATGGAGAGAACTGTTTCAATCATGTTCATGCTGAGCTGTTGCTTCTCCTGCGTTGACACGGTTCGATGGCCATTCTGTCCTCCGCGGTTGTGCTGTGGAGAATCACGAGAACTGTTCCTTACTCCGTTGCCCATGAGGTAGATCAAAGTGAGGTTATCAGGTGAAGGAGGGAGAGAGGCGCTTGCCGCGTCGCGGTTTCCACCATTGTGAAGACGAGCAGAGGTTGGTGAAGGACTAATCATAGTTTTTGGAAGATGCAAAATTGTGAGGGAACCGTTTGCTGAGATTTCGTGGCATGTTTTCGCATGATGTGGAAATCCTTTGGTCACTGGGTGGAAGTCCACTTCTTGATTGGAGACCACCTGAGCCAATGAGATCAAGCAGGTGTACACTGTCGTCATTTTGATGGTGACCAGAGACACCCTCAAAAAAGCTTTCATCTAAGTAGTCCATGATGGAGTTCTGACCAAGTGATTTCCATTTGTCCAGTGAAAATCCATGCTTGATAAAAGGAGATGGAAGCAAACCGTTTATACTCGAAATAATGTTTTCTTCATTTTTTACCCCATATCTTCGCAAAAGGTATCTTCGAGATCTTCTTGCTTTGTGGCAGTCAACTTCCTCCCGCTTCTGCCTTTTTTGACATAGAGGACTGTGGGCTGGCTGACGTCTGTCTAGACAAGATCTAGATCTTCCATGCATCAGCTCTTCAATCCCCTTAGCAATCCCCTTAGCAATAAGCTCACATTTTAGACTAGAGTAAAAGTCATTTTAAGACCGGGTGAAGATTAAGACCATGTAATTAATAGAGGTTCTTACGTAGGATCCTACCTAGCTTCAGTAGCAGAGCAATAGAGCTGCTTCCTAAGTGTTCCGTAGAATCTTACAGGGCTCTCCTATGTAGGATCCTACACAGTTAAGTACTGTAAAGTCTTAAACTGCAGAGAAAAAGAATTCGTCATAAAAGTGAGGATATTTTCAATCAACCGTAACTCCACCAATAAGTACACTCTGATCTTGGGGAATTTAATGGGATACTCAACAACATGTGCCCTTTCGATTCAGCTACTTAGAAGTACAATATTCGAGATCCACCTCTTAAGAGAATAATCCGCGGAAAGGTCGGTCGTCGCATTTCACTCTTATGTATTCGCTCCGGTCTTTTAAAAATTGGTTGCAACTGAACATACAATTTTTAATGCAGGCCATGGAAGCAGGAGCCAATCCAGAGCCAGTAGAGCCAGTAGAGCCAGTTAAGCCACTCCTCCTTTTGGATAGCCAACCAAACTAAGATCACTATGGTGTCTCTTTGCGAGAAACCCACCCATCCCACCCAGGCTGCTCAGTGCAGTGTTTGGGTGCCAACAGCTCTGGGTTGCTTGGTGACCTAAATATCACTAATCCCACTCTGTTCCCCAACTCTAGCACTATTGTGTCAACACGGCACAACACAACTGTGCCTGGATAGTCGTAATGAACTCAATGTAATCTATATTGTGGCCAACTGAGGCAGTGGCTGGGACTCGATGAAGACCCCTTCCATCATTGCGCTCCAGAAACCATCAAGACTTTTAAAATCATGACCCTGATGAAGGGATGGGGCAGCTTCTTAACCATGTTCTGAATCAACATGTTCTAAAGAGGTTTCTAAAGTAGCCATTTAAATACTTTTGGAATACTCCTTTCCCAACATGCTGTTCATATTCTAAGGAGACTTGCCCCCATACGACTAATGAGGGATTGCAGCAATGAAAGTGACACTTTGAGGGCACTTCTGGAGACTTTGTGCAAAAGTTTAGCAGCTGCTGTGCCACTTAAGCTTCAACAAAAGCTTCCAACTTTTCGTTTCAACCCCTGATCTGGCGTTTGCATTTCTGACTTGGAAAAGAACCATTCCATGAGGGAGGATGTCGCTGATGAAGGTGACAAAAGAGCAGTTAACAAAGAAAACTTTAAAAGTTAGTTCCAGAGCTAGTAGACTTGTATTTCGCAAAGTGGCCATATTTCTCCATTGGAGTTTGGAGCGTGGTGCCGTGAGTTCAACTAGCTAGACTAGTCTAGACTACCAGCCTGTTTTTTTTTTGGGCCATGGCTAGCTAGCTAGGTCTACATGTAGTACTTGGTACCAGTAGTAGGGGGGCCCGGGGCTGTCTCGTGCTTATTCATGACTCGACTCGTTTTTCATCTATCATCATGCCGAAAATCGTTGTGCCAAGTGGCGAAAACCCAAACGGAACAGCAACAACACTCTGTCTTTGGATTTGGAGCTCACGACTAATCTTGCCACAAACTCAACAGAGTTCTTGAGCCGATGCCATCCCCACCACAATACACATCCACAATGCTTCAAACGCACTTTGACACGTTTTTACTCGCAGTTGCTTCGTCCACAGACAACTTCTTAGTAGGAGTTTCCTCTGGGCTGTCCACACCAGCCCCATCCACGGGAGAGTTTCTCGACAACCACTTTTTCCGAGTCAACTTCGTGGTTGCCCTTTGTAATGCCTCTGGAACCCTGCTTGCAACATATCTTGGGGACACTTTGAGGACGCTTCCCGAGATATTGCTGAAGAAGTTGGCAGCAGCAGTGTCCACCTCCTCTTCGCCAGAATCTTATCGCATTAATTTTTCGGTTCCGTCCTTCCTGGCTGCGGTAGCCTTTGCATTTTTGGCCTGGAAGGAGTTCCACGACGGAGATGGAAAGGATGAAGTTGACAACAAAGGAAGTAAGTCAGATGCAGATGACAAGAGCAGGAAGAAAGAGATCCCTCGTAATAACCAGAGCCGCCTTTCGTTCGCCATAGCCTTGCCGATGACCTTGAATAATCTGGCTGGAGGCGTTGCAGCTGGAGTGATGGGCATTTCCATACTGGAGGCAACAGCTTATGCATTCGTGGTGTCACTGGGATCCATGTCGTTGGGACATTCCTTGGCGACGCGGGTAGTGAGCATGCAGCAGCAGAGTACTAGCCCGCAAGGTAGAAGGGATGCCAGTCGATGGTGCCGAAATATTGCTGTGCTTGTGTACGTCTTGCTCAGCTTGCAGTCATTCATGGGGGTTTAAACCAAAAAGGAAAGCAAAAGTTACAAGTTGTACTACTTTACCATTGTTACAGTGTTTCTGTCCTCCTTCGTTGATCCATGATGTATTCTCTGAATGATTCTTCATTCGTTGGCTCAGCGGTTTCGACGAATTTGATTGAGGTAGAGGATGCTTGCATGATGAGCCAAGAATGAGAATGACATCGCGGTACGAGCCCGGTACAGGGCACGGTAGCTATTAATAGAGCGCGTCATAATCTCGACAGTAGCCTTGATTGCTTTCGGTTGCCCTCTAGTAGCGAAGCATGCTCAGGATGTTGGCCTAGGATCTTTACGTTGAAAGGGTTGCCGACAAACGTCTTGCTGTCGCTGACACAAGCGACGTCCAACTCGCACAGCTCCAATCTTGCAGCAAGGACCGCTCGTTTTATTTCCCGCTTCATCCGTGCCAGGAATGGAAGCAACCATTGTGGTGCGTGCAAATTTCGCCAGATGGAGGGGTTGAGGATAGGTCCAATCATGGAGAGGACTTTTCCCATATCGTGCCTGGCACTACCTCCTGGAACTGGCCAGCTATGGCCAACTATTAATAGCTAGCTAGGTACCGTAGGTGGGAGTCAGACGGTAGCTTCTGGTACCTTGATGCTTCTCTTGAAAGGGTCGCGGAGACTGAGACTCCGGGTAGCATTCTTCGGAACAAGTGTTTAGCCGCTTGTGCTGGCTAAAATCTCAGCCATCAACCAGTAACCACTCAAAGAATTACAGCAGTGCGCCATTCAAGAACGTCCTTCCCGCTTACCCGACGTGCCTGGCGCTGTCGCCCAATCGAAGCAGCGTCGACGAGGGAAAGGAAGATCGAGTGGAACAAATGAGGCAAAGGCGACTTCGCAAACTGAGAAGGATTTGCCGTGCTGTACCAGGTAACTGTAGTGCTGTGTTTGAGTTGGTTGTAGTCAGATAAGATAGGCGAGGGATCCTCCAAGGCATTCCTGGTGAGCGGCAAAGAGGCGGTAGGCTTACAGAAGCAGTGGCAGTAGGGAAGATACACTGTGTGTACTAGCTAGAAAGGCTACCAGGACCATGCCGCCTCCGTCAACCGACGATATAGAGATCACCAACTACGATGTACTAGCTGATGAAGTCTCTAATCCTATATCATCAGGCGAGAGTGAAGTTGGATTGAGCTTGGCGGCTCACAGCTACCATGTGGGCAACAATCGATTGGAGGTTCTGTGCAATATTCAGGCACAGACCTTTAACGACCTTCTGGCCAAAAAAGATGAGTCCGGCAGTTCTGCCCTTGTGGAGAGGATTATGAATATTGTGCAGAATCAGTGTGTCCCCAAAGGAAGATTTCTAGAGCGAAGCACGAAGGGAGAATGGAAGGAAGTGGAAACAGAGAAGGCACGACTCCTCGTCCGTCAGGCTTTAGAAAACCAGGGCACCGCTACGACCACCACAAGACCCGGAGCAGCGAAGAAGGAGGAAGAGGCAGAAGCAGCAGAGATTCAACAAAAGAAGAAAGAATCAGATGCGGAGAAGAAACGTAGACGAAGGAGCTCGTTGCTGCGACGTTCTGTATCGTCCAGTATGCTGCCCAACTTTGGAGACCTAGGCATGGCCGGTTTGGGCGGGAAACCCTTTGACGACAAGAAGAAGTCAACGCGCAGGGAGATTTCCCCTCAACCTTCTCCTGCTAATTCACGTGCTTCATCTCCGGTTCCACCCGCCGACAGATCTGGCCCTAGGCCTGCTTTTGGACGCTCTCAGTCCGTAGACATGGGACAGGCCATCAGAGCTAAAAGGGACAGGAGGTTGGCCGTGTCAAATGCCCTAGAAGCAAATCCCCTTTTGGTGTCGGAACCTATGAAAATGGATGTGCTGCTCAATACGGCAAAAACTGCACTTCTCCCAGGTACTGATTTGCACGGAAACAATCGTTTACGGGTGATGGTGCAGATTCAGACAGGTGGTTACCAAGGAGCAGATGAGGAAACACAAACGAAAATGGCGGAATCCTTGTTGAACACTATCGAGAGCTTTTGGGGTGGCAGGATTCTCTCAAAAGTCCCTTCCAGGAATAAATCCGCTGGTGATTCCTTCCTCAAACTTGACAAAGACCACTCCATTAGCGCCATGAAAAACTTGTTGAGTGGCAAGGCAGCGGAACAAGAAGAAGAGGCGACAATCGGAGAAGCCCCTGACCCAAAAATCAAGCAAGGACGCCGCGCTTCGCTCAAAGCAATTCAAAGTATTGCATCATCGGGGGCAACAGGGAGCTCGGCATCCATTCTTCCTAGTAGCCTTCCGGCGTTGCCAGCTGATATGCAGCATTTAAGGTCTGCAGCAGTGAAGAGTCTTCAAAAACGAAAGCAAAGGCAGGGTCTGAATAGTCGCATCCGTGGATTGACTGCAGACAAGGCGGCGGTCTTCCAAGACGGTAGCAGCAATGCATCTGTGATGTCGTCCTCGGTTGCGCCTGGGAAAACCTCGCCAATCCCTACAAAACTGGGTTCTCCCGTGCCTTCGGCGTCGAAGGTTATCAGCAATATGCCCTCTCACGCAATGCCACATATACAGCAATACCGACAAACGAGTAGTGGCGCGTCTGTGGCGAGTACTGCAAGCCAGATGAGTACAGCAAATTCATACTATCCCCCGCCTGGCAACTTCCAGCGACAGGGGAGTATTAGTAATGCATCCGTTGGCGGAATGTCGACTGGGAGTTCGAACACACAAATGACGATGAACACAATGAATGCGGCAAGAACCATGGCGGCTATCAATTTAGGAGGCCGACAGAATCAGATGATGCACCCTGGCATGATGCAACCCTCTGGCATGGGTGGCCCGATGTTGGGCTCTGAGCTCCAGATTCCCGCAACCGTCATGAACGCACAACAACAACAGCACATGGCCGCACAACAACAGCAAATGGCCGCACAATTTCAACAAATGGCACCACAGCAGATGATGCCACAGATGCCCGCTTACCAGCAACGTGCGTCTGTTGTGATGTCATGTGTTCCGGAAGAGGTGTTCAACGCTGCGGCTGCCGCACCCTATTCACCACCACCTCTGACAGCAGACCAGCTTTCCCAACTTAACCAGGGGTTGTCGCCTGATCCATATGATGGGGGTATCCAGGGAGTAAGGGCAGGTCCCCAAGATCGCACCAGTTTGTTGAATTCTACTGGTAGCGATGGATTGCCCAAGTTTGCACAAGGAGAGATGGAATTGCTCATCAAAGGGCTGGAAATGCAAGAGAATCAAGCACAGCATCCAGGTCAGGGGCATTGACGGAGGCATTGTGGGTGGCACAGGAGTGAGACTTCGTTGGCGCTGTGCAAATCAAGTTCGTGAAATAGATGTATGTTTGTAACTAGTAGTAAGCGTGCGGGAAATGATTGGATACGAGATTTGACTGTGCGAGACGTCGACACATGGGGACTTTCGGATTGCTTGTGAAGCATGCATCTCAACTTTTCAAGAAACCGGAAGAGCGCGTGCGAAGGTGTTGCCTTCCGCGTCAACCGAAGGATACAAAGGAGGGTGGAACTTCGTACATCGATAGAATAACGTGTCTAATAATGTGCTACCTGATCCCAAGTAGAACAGGTGTACCGTACGACTACCAGGTACTCGCTGCTAGCAAAAGCAACCCACAGCCGTCATGACTGGTTCCAATGGCTACAGGCATGTATCTATACAGTGCACTTACCGGTTTGAAAGCAGATTGCCTTCCTCTTCCTGACAGCATCAATTTTCAGAATTCCACAATGCACCCCCGCAGCCAAACATGTCCAAGTGGCTGGCTGGCACCTCAAGGAAGAACTTGCACTGGCCCGTTCAGCCTTTCAAAGCGACCTTCCTGAAACCAGCAGCGGGGCATGTCTTCGCATCCCCAGGAAACAGTCTCCGAACCATATCTCCACTCCACAAGCTGGGCCCGTGACTTTATAGCTATGGCTAGCTAGTACTACTAGCTAGCAAAGGTGTGCTCCTCGATACTTTAATAAAATTATTTTATTGTAGTTACCTTGGGATCTCAGATCTCGGCTTGTGTTGCTATTGAATAATTCGTCAGAAGAAAAGCCATACCGGAATAGGTCGATGCCGTTGAACGATGCTGTCTTTAGTGGAGATTGTCACATTGGCTGGTGCTTTTGCGGTTCGTAAGTCCCATCAAAGGATACCAGCAGTATCGAATAGTGCAGTATCGAACAGGCCTTTCAGTTACTTGCCGTTGCATGCCAGTCCGTCTGAAGAAGTACCACTAATCATTAGAGAGTGGGAGTCAGGAGAAGGTCAAGGGATCCTCGACGTTCTAATGTCAGCGGACACTGAAGATACTTTCAATCCTGAAGGCACATTTGAAATGGACTGCTCGTCTGAATTCCTCTTGAAAAGAATGCTATGATCCTGAAGATGGCGGGTGCTTTCTCGTAGCAGAATTGGTCAACCCACCCGACGATGATTCCGCCATAGTTGGAACGGCAGGACTGATTGTGGGAACTCGGATACAATATCAGACTTCTGGTGCCTCGCAATCATCGGGTGGCATTACTGCCGCCATTCGACGGTGCAGTTGCAGTCTTCCTTTACTGCTGGAGGTGGACGATGAAGCCAACCGGATGACTTGCAACAATATCTTGAAGCAATTATTGGTTTTTATCGAAGAACGGGCTTTGCTTGCAAAGGCAACCCAAGTCATCACACTGGCATATCCCGATTCTACAATATCCTCATTTGCAAGTAGTAAGCCGAGCCCGAAAATCCTTGAGTCTCTGGGGTACCAAGTCCTTCCACAGCAACTTCCAGGTGTTGATGCTATACAATATGGAAAGGAGCTGGGGTACCGGTAAGTCAGCGCCTCTATCCAAAGAAAGTGCGGGGAACTTCATTACACAGTCTCTTGGCCTGTAACTGGGGCAACTATTAATTTCTTCCTGATGCTCAGCAGGTGCAGATAGTAGTCTCACCCATTCATACCTTAAAAGTGTCACTGGGACTGCGCAATTATTAGTCCATGCGAATCTCAGAATGACAAGCAGCAACAGTTGTCGCTTTCTCATGATGGATCCTCTTTGAGAATTTTGTCAGTGCCAGCAACATCCAAGCCCAACGTAGAAAAAAAAACAAAGGCCCCAAGCTTGGCCGTTTCCATTTCGAGCTGTTGCTCTGTGGTGATTCTGCGATAATATTATTGTGTACTGATTAATCTAACGATCTAAGAGATGTAAAGTTTGTATTTCCAAATAAGTGAGCAGTTACTGATTATTTTCTAGAATAAGCCTGCTAATTGTAAAGCTGTAAAGCTGAATTGTAAGCTGTATCCCGTCGCACTCCCTTACAGCTGAAATGAAGCTGGAGCAAGAAACGATAGGAG